GACAAACCCAGCAATTGGGTTGTTTTGACCCAGCGGTTGGGTTACTACCCAGAAGGTTGTGTGAAACATTTAACCCAACCGCTGGGCCAAAACAGCCCAATTGCTGGGTTTGTCCCTATTTTACCCAGCACTGGGTTGTATTTAACCCAGCATTTTTTAGAGTGTACCAGCTTATTTCTGTTCCAAACACATATGGCTTAATTAAACCAATATTTCCAGTTGCCATTGCCATTGTACACTCTAAAAAATGCTGGGTTAAATATAACCCAGCGCTGGGTTAAAAAGGGACAAACCCAGCTATTGGGTTGTTTTGACCCAGCGGTTGGGTTCAAAACATCCCAACTGCTGGATCAAAGCAACCCAATTGCTGGGTTTGTCCCTTTTTAACCCAGCATTTTTTAGAGTGTATGGCGTTTACTACAGTTCAGTACAGTTCAGGAGGCGCTGGCTGGTGTGTGACTGAGTGGAGGCGGGGCTAATTTGCATATTCATAGATCCGCATATAGTAAATGAGGCAAGGGTGTAGAGTTGCATTCAAGCTATTTTAAGGCATGAGAAAATTATTTTCACAAGAAAAAACATTTAAATATATCATTTTGATGATCAAAGATGAGTTTTAAAGGATACAATTTTTGACTACAGGGGGATTTTAATAATCATTAGTATTTGATGAATTAAGTATTAATTTAGACATTAGTACATATGATTATTCATGTACCCTTATTGTAAAGTGTTACCGACATGACCTTTTCTGTGTTTGGTTCAGGAGATATGACACAAAATACATAATTTGGTTATGGCGGAAAGTAAAATGGTCGCCATGGCCACCACGAGGCGTTTTTGCGATGTCTCCATTTTATGAAAATGTTCAGGGCCGCAAACTATACAAGTGTACCAAGTTTCATGCTTTTATGAAAAAGTGAACATTATTTTCACATATCACCTGGACTAAGTAGTTAATAGTCTTTCCAGAAAAGACCTCCATAAAACATACAAAACAAGCAAATTAGTAAAAGAACAGCAAGATACATTTACTTGAGAAGCAAAATGATTTGGGGTCATATTAAGTCTTGTTTTCTGAAAAAAATTAAATTATCTTACAAATTTTAAATTTTTGCTTAAAATGAGAAACAATATCTGCCAATGGGGCAAGAAAAATAATCTTGTTTTGCCTTTGAATTAAGATTATTATTCTTACCTCGTTGGCAGATACTTTTTCTTGTTTTAAACAAACTAACAAAATATTGTGTATAACACTAACAATATTACCGTATTGAAGAAAAAACAAGATTTAAAAAGCCTTTTTCCAAAAGGTACATCTGGAAAAAGGGGGGGTCGTCTTATAATCAGGGTCGTCTTATATTCGGGCCAATACGGCATGTCTTGTTTTCTGAAATATTTAAGTAATGTTGCTTTGCTTTCAGTCATGTGTGCACTCAAGCTCGAGGATCTTGGCTCATTTGGGTCAGACATGAAAAATTCAGTGAATTGTTAACTGGAGATTTGCTCGGACTGGTCATTGAATAAATGAGAACAGCTGCAGTCGGATCAGTCCAATATGTGAATGAACCATATTGTTCGATTTGTGACCCAATTCAACCAGTTAATTAAAAACAATGAGCTCATTCATAAATCTGGGTGGACTGGGTGTCATTTTCTTCTGTTTGAGATGACAAGGAATGATTTGTTTTTATTAAATGCTTTGAAATATGGTGAAGTAAAAGAAAAGAAAAAGACAAATGTACTTACATACAATAACAAAGTAAAAATGTTCACCACTACTGTGTGACCTTTGTTTTGTGTTCATCAGACAAGTCGCAAGAGTCTCAATCATCCTCAAACATCCCACATGGCACTGATAAAGAAAAGACTGAATCAGGAGTACTGGATAACCAGAATGCTAGTGTATCTCCAACACAATCAAATGAAGATATCAACAACTCTAACCCAAAGAAAGAGGTGCTGGACATGGACATCAATTTTAACAAATAGCTCTGGATTAAGTTTTTTAAATGTTTCTTATTCTGTTGTTGGTGATTTTATGATTTTTATTCACCCTGTGTGCATGCAATTGCTGAAAATAAAAACTTATTTTACACAATATTCTAAATATACTTAAAAATAATTTTAAATGGAACATTTGCTCTGTTGGCTAACATTAATGATAATCACAGAAAGCATAAACATGGAAATGAAAAACATGGGGCCCGTTCTTCGTACGTTGCTAACTCAGCTGTATTTGATTGTTGATGATTTCGCTTTATCTTGGATAGTTTGGTTCTTCGAAGCTCATCTCGGAGTTGCTGTTAGCAACAGGTCCATAAACTTAATCTTGCTCGGGAGCAGCTTATTTCATGTAAACAGGATTAGCTTGCATCTTTTTAACTTAAAATCTGTCCCAACCACTGCTACTTTATTAGAAGAGTATCCTACTGATCCAGGGACAGTAATTTAAAATAATAATAATTTAAAAGTTAACTGAAAAATAATATAATAATGTTGTGTAGTCTTTAATACTATAGACACTATGTATATATGAACTATATTTATTCATGATAAAATAATTACTTTTTATAATTTTATTGGAGTCTTACACACATGCTATACAGATAATGTAGAGTCGTGCATTAATTTGAGTTATTGGAGCGCAGGAGATTCAGATAACTTGTTTTTGACCCTTAAGAAACTTTAACGCTGTCACATAACAAATCTGCTCAAATATAAAATTAAATGAATTGCTAATTACAACATTGAAATAAAAATGTAAAGCCTGTACAAATACTAGAAATCGTGAATATATATAATTGGGAATTATGTAAAAAAAAAAATTTTTAGTATCGATACATCTGCCCTTTACGGGGAACACGAGAACGCGCAGTAATCTTGCGACAACTTAATCCAGATATTTTAATCAAATCCGCAAATCCGTTTGAAGAACCAAATTAGCCAGAGATCAGTTATCACGATTAGAAGATCTGGCATCTTTCAATTCATATTAAGCGAGGTACGACGAACGGGCCCCTGGAGTTCTATGATGACTATTTTGGTTTATTTTGCATTTAGAAGAAACATGTTTCCAGTGAAGATTCAACAGTGAATGCCCAACATAGTCAAGAGCAGCAGAATTCTGATTTTGCTGATGACCAGAATTGCAGTGAAAGTGATGATACAGAAAGTCAGTATGTTGAGCCTCCAAAAAGGTGAATGAAGAATCATGTAGTTATAAAAGTACATATGTTGTTTTTTTCCCCCTGGATTATTATCTTACCAATATTTTTAAATTGCAGAAATCCAGCATCAGATCAACAAATAAGTCCCAGAGACAGACTCGCCATTTGTTTTCATGCAGTCCTTTCAAAAGACTTCAAGTTTATACCAAACAAGGATTTTATCTTCATAAGAGCCGGTGATCACATTGGTGGCTGGGAAAAAAATTTGGTTGAACTGCGTGTGTCAGGGTTAGTAAAGGACCATTTATTGATTATTCATATCTGGAAGCAGTTGCTTAAAAATTATTTGATTTCAGGGATCTCGGAGAGCATGGATTGCTTGTGGAAGGGAAATATATATGCAAGAAGTTTGATGCTGAAGCTGTGTCCATTCCATACAAATATGTTGTGTATAAAGAAGAAGATCACAACAAGTATGAATTACATTATGAATACATCTACAAACTGGATTCAAAAGAAACCACCAACAGATGTCTGTTTGTCAAATCGCATCTCCTAAATAGTGACGGTAGGTTAATTTCATACTTAAGTTAAATTTTCATTATTTAATTGACCTAATATTTTATTTTCATAATGCAGGAGAATGGCACCAGTATGATGATATCATCTGTAAAGAACCATCTAAAGATGTGATGAAACGTATAAAAGAATTTCTGTGGTCTAAGCAGAGGAAAAAAATAATCGAGGGAAGAGAAATCGCTGGTTCAGTCATGCTGCAAACTATCTTTGACCTCCTGAGAAGCTGGAGCAAAATTAACCTCGGCAACTTCTTTTGTCAACTGCAACAGTTTTATGAAGTCTATGGCAACCCTTTTGTATTTGAAAAGACAATTGTGAAATGGGGCTCACTTGAATATGGTGAAAAAGATGTAAGTAAACCATATGTATCTCAGTATATAATGAAAAACATTTTTATATTTTTCACCCAAAATCACCCCCAGAATTTTAATTCTTTCTGAATCTCATCATTTGTCTCATACTTATGTCATTCCAAACCTTAATAACTTCATGGAACAGAATAGATAAAATACTGCAGAATATCCCCCACATGCACATCTATCTATCTATCTATCTATCTATCTATCTATACAGTGGTGGCCAAAATGATTAGAACAATAGTATTGTCAGCAGCTAAAAATGGTTTTAAGTCAGTTATTTCTATATTTTGCTGTAGTGTATCAGTAGGAAATATCAGTTCACATTTCCAAACATTCATTTTGCCATTAATTGTAATAATCCAGTGAGATTTTTGTGCTCCACACACAGATCTGATCTGATCATCATCAGTCTGTCTGGAATGACATGAAGAACACACAGAGATCTGATCTGATCATCATCAGTCTGTCTGGAATGACATGAAGAAACAGAACAAACTGAGACAGACTCAATCCAGAAGAACTGTGGCAACGTGTCCAAAATGCTTCAAGAAAGCTACCTGCAAAGCTTCAGTGCTGTTAAAAGTTTTAGGCACTTGTGTAAAAATGCTGTAAAATGAGGATGCTGTCAAAAACAACGTCATAAATAGTTTTTTTTTATATCAATGCACTTCTATTAACTAAATGAAATCAACATTTGGTGTGAGCATCCTT